CCTCCTCCTCCTCCTCCTCCTCCTCCTCCTCCTCCTCTTTGTCTCTTCAAATGTGCTAGAGCCGGGGCACGCGTGCAACTTGTTTACAAGGTTTCGTGCCCCTCCCAGCCCTCCAGGTACTGTAGGCCCCGCCTGAGCGAGGAGGGTATCCCCAAACCATACAATTTACAAGGTTTCGTGCCCCTCCTAGCCCTCCAGGCAGGCCCCGCCTGAGCGAGGAGGGTATCCCGAAGCCATACTATTTACAAGGTTTCGTGCCCCTCTCAGCCCTCCAGGCAGGCCCCGCCTGAGCGAGGAGGGTACCCCAAAACCATACTACGTATCAGGTTTCGAGAGAGGCCCCGCTTGAGCGAGGAGGGTATCCCCAAACCATAATATTTAGAAGGTTTCGTGCCCCTCCCACCCCTCTAGGGAGGCCCCGCCTGAGCGAGGAGGGTATCCCCAAGCCGTACTATTTACAAGGTTTCGTGCCCCTACAAGCCCTCTAGGCAGGCCTCGCCTGAGCGAGGAGGGTATCCCAAAGCCATACTACGTATCAGGTTTCGTGCCCCTCCCACCCCTCCAGAGAGGCCCCGCTTGAGCGAGGAGGGCATCCCCAAACCATAATATTTAAAAGGTTTCATGCCCCTCCCACCCCTCTAGGGAGGCCCCGCCTGAGCGAGGAGGGTATCCCCAAGCCATACTGTTTACAAAGTTTCGTGCCCCTACAAGCCCTCTAGGCAGGCCCCGCCTGAGCGAGGAGGGTATCCCAAAACCATACTACGTATCAGGTTTCGTGCCCCTCCCACCCCTCCAGAGAGGCCCCGCTTGAGCGAGGAGGGTGTCCCCAAACCATAATATTTAAACGGTTTCGTGCCCCTCCCACCCCTCTAGGGAGGCCCCGCCTGAGCGAGGAGGGTATCCCCAAGCCATACTATTTACAAGGTTTCGTGCCCCTAAAAGCCCTCTAGGCAGGCCCCGCCTGAGCGAGGAGGGTATCCCAAAACCATACTACGTATCAGGTTTCGTGCTCCTCCCACCCCTCCAGAGAGGCCCCGCTTGAGCGAGGAGGGTGTCCCCAAACCATAATATTTAAAAGGTTTCGTGCCCCTCCCACCCCTCGAGGGAGGCCCCGCCTGAGCGAGGAGGGTACCCCAAAACCATACTACGTATCAGGTGTCGTGCCCCTCCCACCCCTCCAGAGAGGCCCCGCTTGAGCGAGGAGGGCATCCCCAAACCATAATATTTAAAAAGGTTTCGTGCCCCTCCCACCCCTCTAGGGAGGCCCCGCCTGAGCGAGGAGGGTATCCCCTAAGCCATATTAGTTACAAGGTTTCGTGCCCCTACAAGCCCTCTAGGCAGGCCCCGCCTGAGCGAGGAGGGTATCCCAAAGCCATACTGCGTATCAGGTTTCGTGCCCCTCCCACCCCTCCAGAGAGGCCCCGCTTGAGCGAGGAGGGTATCCCAAACCATAATATTTAAAAAGGTTTCGTGCCCCTCCCACCCCTCCAGGGAGGCCCCGCCTGAGCGAGGAGGGTATCCCCAAGCCATACTATTTGCAAGGCTTCGTGCCCCTACACGCCCTCTAGGCAGGCTCCGCCTGAGCGAGGAGGGTATCCCAAAGTCATATTGCGTAGTAGGTGTCGTGCCCCTCCCACCCATCCAGAGAGGCCCCGCTTGAGCGAGGAGGGTATCCCCAAACCATAATATTTAAAAAGGTTTCGTGCCCCTCCCACCCCTCCAGGGAGGCCCCGCCTGAGCGAGGAGGGTATCCCCAAGCCATGCTATTTACAAGACTTCGTGCCCCTACCAGCCCTCTAGGCAGGCCCCGCCTGAGCAAGGAGGGTACCCCAAAACCATACTACGTATGAGGTGTCGTGCCCCTCCCACCCCTCCAGAGAGGCCCCGCTTGAGCGAGGAGGGTGTCACCAAACCACCATATTGTTTCATGGTTTCGTGCCCCTACAAGCCCTCTAGGCAGGCCCCGCCTGAGCGAGGAGGGTATCCCCAAGCTATACGATTTACACGGCTTCGTGCCCCTACACGCCCTCTAGGCAGGCCCCGCCTGAGCGAGCAGGGCATACTAGATATCAGGTTTCGTGCCCCTCCCACCCCTCCAGAGAGGCCCCGCTTGAGCGAGGAGGGTATCCCCAAACCATAAGATTTAACAGGTTTCGTGCCCCTCCCACCCCTCTAGGGAGGCCCCGCTTGAGCGAGGAGGGTATCCCCAAGCCATACTATTTACAAGGTTCGTGCCCATTTCAGCACTCGAGGCAGGCCCCGCCTGAGCGAGAAGGGCATACTACATATCAGGTTTGGTGCCCCTCCCACCCCTCCAGAGAGTCCCCGCTTGAGCGAGGAGGGTATCCCACAACCATAATGTTTAAAAGGTGTCGTGCCCCTCCCAGCCCTCCAGAGAGGCCCCGCCCGAGCGAGGAGGGTATCCCCAAACCATACGTTTTGCATGGTTTCGTGCCCCTCTCAGCCCTCCAGGGAGGCCCTGGCGCCGAACGACGTCGACACCCTCCTCCTCGTCAGCCACTGCCATCATCACCACTTCGTCCTGCCACGCCCTCTTCTCCGTCCTCCCCGCCTTATCGGCATTCCTGCTCTTGCTCGCCCGAGCTGCCCAGTCTGCACTGCTGAGGTTCATGCTGCCGAGCGCGGCCTCCTTCGACCCCCTCTTACACATCCATCCTCCCCCCCCCCCTGCTGCTTCCCCGCCTCGCGTCCGTCGGCCCTTCCATGACAACATATGGACGTCATAGGCCTTATGCCCTCGTGATCCCGCCAACCCCGTAACATCCTTCTGTGGGGAATTCCGTTAGCATAATTTGTTGTCCGAATCCGCTTGTAGGAGGACATGCCCGACCTAAAACGAGGGGGATGTTTCGGGAGGGCCCCCATCGGGGAGGAGACAACGGACCTCGACAGGAGCACTTCTGTTTCGTTGTGGTGGTGGTCGAGGCCGTCCAGGGACGCCACCCCGTCCACAACCAGCTTCGGCGTTCAGAAGATTATTCAAGCGGCGTGCGCCTTTTTTCCGTCTTTCCACCGAAGGAGTCAAAGTTTGCGACGATCGGGGAGGTTCTCCAGTGGCCTTCGGCCCAACCCGCCACCGTGCCTGGGCTGGGCTGTGGATCAGGAGCCTGCCGGATGAATATCAGGGTCTCTTGGGATGCCTCTCAGGGGCCTCTTGGAGTGCTCTTGGGTGCATCTGGGATGCTTGCTGGGGCCTCTTGGAGGCGTCTTGGAGGCCTCTTGGGGCCTCTTGGGGTTGCCTCGGGGGTTTCTGGGGGACTCTTGAGGCCACCTTGCGGGGAAAGGCTCGGAATATCAGTTCGTATTCCCCCTCTTGAGCTCGCTTGGGGCCCTCTTGGGGTTGTCTTGGCCGTCGTGGGGGCCCCTGGGGCCGCCTTAGCACCCTCTTGGGCCGTCTTGGGCCTTCTTGTGGGCCTCATCGGCCGTCTTGTGACGGTCCTGGGGGTCCCGTGGGCAGTCTTAGAAGCTGTCAAGGCGAAAAGGCGAGCGCGTTGAAGAACGTGAGGATCCCAACGCGAGAGGGGGAGAGATTGTTGCCTCTTGGGGCCTGCTCGGCGGTCTTCTGGGCACACGTTTGGGCCGTCTTGGGGGCCTGGACGGCCGCCTTGAAGTCATATTGGGTCGTCGTGGGGCTGCTATGGGCCGTCTCGGCGCTCTCTTCGACTATCTTGGCGCTCTGTCTGGGTCCTCTCGGGGCTTTTTGGAGGCTGCGCAGGCCCCAGGGGTACGTTGGCGAGCTCGTACCCCCCCCTCTCATCGGATTTCAGACTCCAGGGGAGGTGGGAAGGGGGAGGAGGGCAGCCAAATGTCTCACACGCCTTTTCACCCCCGGCAAGCGGGGGTCGGCGGATTGGCATGCCCAGGACACCCCCCAGGGTGTGTCCTAGATGTGGTTGTGATGGCTTGCCGACCCTGGAACGGACCGGTGAAGGAACACACTTTGCAGCAAGCGTTTAGGAGCATCTTCGCATGACCGACGTTGTCGTCTAATGGTGCACTTCCCGAAATGAAGGTAAATCCTCTTAGGGAACTCTGAAGGGGGAACTCGGAGGGCGAGTGATTGCAAGATCGCTCATGCGTTTTGGGTCTACACTGGTGCTCCTCCTTTCCCCTTCCCCCCTTTCCGCATCCGCCGCCGGCACCTCCTGCTCGTCCTCGATCCTGTCAGCTGGAATAGGGCCCGGCATATCCTCGCCTCCTCGTCCCTGGTCATCCGCGACCCCGCTCCCGCCTCCGCCTGCCCGCCCTGCACGCCGCCCCCCCGCTGAGCCCGAACTCCGTGGCGGGCCGCGGCGGTGGCGACGGCCGAAGGAGAACAAGACTGCACAGGCACGAGCTGCCTGAGATTCAGCGAGCGAAGAACGGTATAACATAAACTTTTTCGCTGTCGGGGGCGCCTGTCCCTGGGCGGCTGGAAAGTTTATACCCCTACGGTGCCACCGTAGGGGTATAATCTTTCCAGCCGCCCTGGGACAGGCGCCCCGACAGCGAAAAAGTTTATGTTATACCGTTCTTCGCCCGTTAAGAGATCCGCGCGGAGTTCTTGCATCGGCGCTGGAGCCCTCCTGCGCCTCCGTGCCGTCTCCCCACGGCAGCCTCCTCTCCCGGGGCCTCCTCGCGCCGCCAGGAGGAGGAGGCGGCGGAGGAGGAGGCGGAGGAGGAGCGAGGGGAGGAGGAGGAGGAGGAGGAGGAGGAGGGAGGAGGAGGAGGAGGAGAGGAGGAGGAGGAGGAGGAGGAGGAGGAGGAGGAGGAGCGAAGGGGAGCGAGGAGGAGCGAGGGGGAGCGAGGAGGAGCAGGGAGGAGTAGGGAGGAGCGAGGAGCGAAGGGGAGGAGGAGGAGGAGGAGGAGGAGGAGGAGGAGGAGGAGGAGGAGGAGGAGGAGGAGGAGGGAGGAGGAGGAGGACCTCCTCCTCCTCGCGCCGCCCCTCCCCTCCCTCCTCCCGTGCCCTGTCGCACCGCGCCCGCCCCCTCCGCCGCGAGGTGCTCCTGGAGAGGCTGCACCTGGAGCTCGACGAGGCCGCGGCGCAGAGCGAGGTGGTGGCGGAGGCCCCGCCGCCGGCCTAAGGGGGCGCAGGGCGGCGGCGAGGAGGGCGAGGGAGGGAGGGAGGAGGGATGGAGGAGGACGAGGAGGGAGGGACGAGGAGGACAAGGAGGAGGACGAGGAGGGAGGGAGCGAGGGCGCGGGAGCGAAGAGGGGGTGCAGGAGAGGGACGCGTGGGGGGGGCACGAGGAGGAGGAAGAGGAGGACGAGGACCAGTGCAAACCCGAGGCTCATCAACGATGTTGAAATACACCCTTCCTCCAAGATCCCTCTTCGTGGGCCCCTACAAGTGGTCATTGCCACTGAGGAGATTGCCCCGTTGGGGGACAACCGTGTGAACATCTTGAAGCGTGCCAAAACATCACTCTCAATATTTCAACGCCACGAGTTAACCTGACCCGCACGTCTTGGCGATCCGGAATCGTGCCTGAACACCACTGTTGGGACTCCACCGCGAATCCATGTACGTAATTGTTGCGTCCGGGCAATCCTGAATGGTTCCAAAACGCCGTTTCTGGTGCATGAACAATGTTCATCAGTGAAATTCTTGCACATGTTGCAAACGAATGTGAGCGGCTCTAAGACGAGAGCCACAGATTAAAACGGAACCGCCGTCAATCAGTGAAACTACAATGTTGTAAAACGAATGTGCGCGGCGCTACGGCGATAGCCACCTTTTGAAAACGGCCCACCCTCAATCCGTGAAGCCCTGGCACATCTTTACAGCGAATGTGTGCGGCGCTAAGGCGAGAAGCACATGTTGTAAACGACCCGCTCTCAATCCGCGAAATTTCTTCACATTTTGAAAACGACTGCGCGCGACTCTGAAGCGAGAGCCACATTTTGAAAAGGCACCGCCCTCCATCCGTGAAGCTCTTGCAAAGAATTCAAAAGAGCGTGCGCGGCGCTAAGGCAAGAGCTACATGTTGAAAACGGCCCGCCCTCAATATGTGAAGCTCTTGCTAATTTCAAAACGAATGTGCGATGCGCTGTGGCGACAGCCACATTTTGAACACGACCCGCCTTCAATCCGTGAAACTCTGACAAATGTTTCAAACGAGTGCACGCGGCGCTAAGGCGAGAGCCACATTTTGAAAACGACCCGCCCTCAATCCGTGAAGCTGTTGACTTGTTGAAAGTTTCTGGGTCATACATGGTAAGGACCCCAGGCGAAACGCCCAGCCCGCCCTTTCGACCAACCTCGGGGGGCGACGGGGACGAGTGAGGACAAGGAATGGAGCAGAAGGAGTAGGAGGGCAACGAGCTGGTGCCCTTTCCCGCAGCCCCGATTCGGCTCTGTCGGAGGGGGAGCGTGGATGAGGTGGAGAGTGGCGCACGAGGGCCCCAGTGCGCCGCACAGACAGGTCCGCAGAGGAACACGGCGGCTGCGCCAGGAACCCTGTTCGAACCACCCTATCTGGCCCTCCGCTCTGTCTTTTGCTGTTGCTTGTCTTTCTGTTCCTTCTTTCTCTCTCTCTCTCTCTCTCTCTTTCTTCCTCCCTTGCTCCCGCTCTTTGTCTGCGTGTGTGCATTTATATGTGTTGCTTGTTTGTTTGTTTGTTTGTGTGTGCGTTTGTGTTTGTGCTTGTGTTTGTGTTTGTGCTTGTGCTTGTGCTTGTGCTTGTGCTTGTGTTTGTGTTTGTGTTTGTGTTTGTGTTTGTGTTTGTGTTTGTGTTTGTGTTTGTGTGTGTGTGTGTGTCTGTGTGTGTGTGTTTTTCACGTCCTCTCTCCCTGTCTGTTACGGTGAAGTTCCTCGGCGAGCTCATGGCTCAGTGCCTCCCCGGGGCGCAGACCCTCCGCCCCCCCCCCCCCAAGGATCCACCGCGGCAGTGTGGCGGCGGACCCCCCCCTCTTTCCCAACGCCGGGAGATGGTAGGACGAGCGCATGGCCGAGATGGGTGCCACACTGCCCACTTGTATCGTCTGGCGTCCTCGGAGACTGTAGCATAAGTGCGTTTGTGTATGTGTGTGCGTGTGTGTGCGTGTGTGTGTGTGTGTGTGTGTGTCTGTGTCTGTGTGTGTGCGTGTGTGTGTGTGTATGTTCTTCCAGGTGGTGCACTCTCACCCCTTGCATGCCACCGCTTTCTACGTGCACCGGTTCCGGCCCTCTTTCTCTTGCACGCGTCAGCCACGTCCTGACCGCCCATGTGCAGTGCCTGGTGGTAATGGACCTAGGCGTGTCCCACCCTGACCCCTCGCTGTGTTGAACCAGCCGGCCGCTGGCACAAAAATATCTTGGCGAAGGACCCAACCATATGCAGTTGTGAGTAACGCAGTTGTTGGTATCGTCTTCGCTGGAGTTCCTCATGGGGTACGGAACGTGTGAGGGGTGTGCCAACATGGGCGCGGTGGTGTCATGCGAGCGCAACCATTGGGGCTTTCGGTGGAGCTACCCATGGGGCCAAGAAACGTGTGAGGGGTGGGCCGACATGGGTGTGGTGGTGCCATGCGAGCGTAGCCACTGGGGCCTTCGGTGGAGCTCCCTATGGGGCCACGAAGCGAGTGAAGGGCGTGCCGACATGGGTGCGGTGGTGACATGCGAGCGCAGCCACTGGGGCCTTCGGTGGAGCTCCCTATGAGGCCACGAAGCGTGTGAAGGGCGTGCCGAAATGGGGTCGGCTGTGTCATGCGAGCGCAGCCATTGGGGCCTTCGGTGGAGCTCCCTATGCGGCCACGAAACGTGTGAAGGGTGTGTCGAAATTGGTGCGGTGGTGTCATGCGAGCGCAGCCACGGGCATTCGGTGGGGCTGTACTATGGGGCCACCAAACGTGTGAGGGGTGTGCCGGATTGGGTGCGGTTGTGTCATGCGAGCGCAGACGCTTGGGCCTTCGGTAGGGCCATGAAGCGTGTGAAGGGTGTGCCGACATTGGTGCGGTGGTGTCATGCCAGCGCAGCCATTGGGGCCTTCGGTGGAGCTTCCCATGGGGCTACGAACCGCTGTATTAGGTGGGGGAAACGCAGGGAGTTGGGAGGAGGGGGGCGAGGAGGAGAGGAGAGGAGAACGCGGGGAACCGTCTTTTCAAAACGTTGACCCAACACCACAGGATGGTTGAGAAATGTGATACATGCATTTCTGTGTGTGTGATATATATATATATATATATATATATATATATAGTCAGCCTCCCCCCCCACCCCCAGCACCCCGTGTGGACCTATCGCTGTGTTTTCTCCCTATCGCTCTCTCCCCGTTCCTCCTCCTCCTCCTCTTCCTCCTCCTCATCTTCCTCCTCGTTTCCTCTTCCTTTCCTCCCCCTCCTCTTCTTCCTCCTCCTTTTCCGTCGCCAGAAAGACTTGCGGGAGGAGGGTGGCCACGAAGTCATGGTATTCACATATTTTTGTTTTTGTTTGGAGGAGTTCTGGTCGGGGATGCCACCGAACACTGCTATTAATATATTTTTGTTATTTTATTTGGTTTTCAGGAGATCTGCAAACTGCGCACTTCCTTCGCCCGAAAGACTTGCGGGATGGGGGTGGCCACGAAACCATGCTCTTTACAGGTTTGTTTGGTTTTTTCCGGTCAGGGATGCCACCAAACCTTACTATTCACAATTTGTTTGGTTTCAGGATATTAGCAAACTGCGCAATCATGTAAGGCCAATGTACTGCTCAGTTTGCAGATTTCCTGAAAACCAGAACAACCCCAAAAACATGTGAACTACAATGATTGGTGGCATCCCTGCCAAAACAGAGCAAAAACAATTGTGAATAGAATGGTTTCGTGGCCACCCTCATCCCGCAAGTCTTTCTGGCGAAGGAAGCGCGAAGAGCAGTGGTTGGTGACATCCCCGATCAGCCAACAAAAAAAACAAACCTGTGACTAGCATGGCTTCGTGGCCATGCAGCTGCTGTTGTCGTTGCTCCTCCTCCTCCTCTTCCTCCTCCGCCTGTTATTCCTTCTTCTGCTCCTGACCCCCATTCCTCCTCCGCCTTCTGATCCTCCTCCCGCGCTCTCCCCCTTCCTCCTCCTCCTCCGCCTGGCCTTCCTCCTCCTTCTCCTCCTCCTCCCAGTTTAGGCACCTGGGGCTCCATTGTGAATATGCGGCCCACCGTGTTGCCATCAAGAGCGAGGCCTTCTACAAAGCTCAGATGAAATATGAACACACTTTGGAGGGTGAGGATTTTGTCGTTGCTCAACGCGTTCTCCCGCTCGTCAGGAAGAGCATCTTCACTCATCTTACAGAGACGCTTCGGAAGGCACGTGCACTTGTCCGAGTGCCCCGAGAGCCACATGCTCGAGGAGTGCAGGCAATTGCGCATCGAGAGAAGATGGCACTGACTCGCGTGAGCATGATGGACGTCATTTGGCCGAGGCTCTTGAAGTAGAATTCCGAGTGTCCCGAGAGCGTCGGCTTTCGCACCTTTACCCGTCTTCATGTCCTTGTTGCTGCCCTTCCTCCGCATGTTCTCATTGCTGTCCACCGCGCGATCTTCAACGGGTGTAACGCGTCAGCACGGTACCGCACAGGGGCGGGTATTTGCAAGATAAGGTGTAACTGCGTGGAGGGGGACCCTCTATGCGACATTATCTTTCCTGTCAAGTCTTCCAACCTGTCGTGAGGGCTCTCCTTCCTCTCATCCCTTCCTCTTGGGCCTCTGGGAGTGTCATGGATTTTGTTTTGGGAGCCCTGTTGTACTTACCTAAAGATGAGATTATGAGTATCGGCCTGGCCTTAGATTTCACGCCCCCCCCCACGTTTAATCACGTTCGGCCTCGTCGTCCACTTAGTTTCAGTCTGATCCGTGGCATAGCTAGGGGCAGAGTTCGTGCCGTCGCTGCATCATCTGCTGTTGCTCGCCGTCTGCTCCGTGGTGTCGACGGTCGTCGATGCTGATCTAGTTCCCATGTTCCAGAAGAGCGTTTCCGAAGCATGGCAGCCTTTTGGACGTTGAGGACTTCTCTCTCTCTCTCTCTCTGCTTTTGTCTCGTAGCCGCCTCTTTTCTGTCCCTTGTTCCTCCCCCATCCTCCTCCTCCTCCTCCCTCTCCTCCTCCTCCTCCTCCT